ACAAACTTTCTGCTAGCCCAAGCAAGCTGGACAGAGTCAGTCGATGCCAGAGTGGGAGTCGACGTTGTCTACCTGGACTTCTCGAAAGCGTTCGATCGTTTGGACCACTGCATTCTAGGTAACCCCATCCTCCGTTGGATCATCAACTTCCTCACTCAACCTTAGCTGAATGTGAGACTAGGCAGCTCCATTTCCGACCCAATTGACGTCCAGTGCGGCTTGCCCCAAGGATCTACACTGAGGCCACGTTTATTCCTCACATACATCAACTATCTTGCCAGCGTACTGTAGTCGAATTTCTTACTATTTGCAGATGATGTCACAAGTCGGAATGATATCAGGATATCGGATGATCACAAGGTATTGGAGAGCGATCTCGACAGGGCTTATGCGTGGTCATCCGCTAACCGGCTCCAGTTCAACGTAGCGAAGTGCAAAATCGTAAGCATACGCCATCAGCTTATTTATGAATATGGACTTGGGGACCAGCAATTAAACGTGCTTCCCAAAAAACGACCTAAGGGTGATTATGCTGTGCGATTTTGGTTGCATGAGATACGCTGAAAAGTCAACAAAAAGAGCCAGTCAACATCTTAGAGTCTTCCGTAGGGCTTACAGAAATTTTGAGCCATCAATCTTTCCGCAAATGCTGAACGCCTAGGTGATGCCTCAAGTGGAATATGTGATCTAGACCTGGCGTTTTTGGCGCAAGCGCGACATCAACGCACTTGAAGCTCCACAACGTAGAGCGACCAAACTCGCTAGAGTATTGTTTCATCGCTCCTACCAGTGCAGACTGTAGTCCATGAGATTCTACGGTGGTGAATGTCGACGTCAGCGAGGAGTTCTCATCATGTTTTACTTACTACGGACGAACTTAGCTCACACATGTCACAATCTGTTGCAACTGAGCCAAAATACCAACCTGATAGACCATCAACTCAACGTGGCTACGCACTACAGTCGACTTAATTGTCGACGAAACCTTTTCTCCCTCCGTGCGTCCCGTGCCTGGAACGCCCTTCCGACTTACGTCATCCTTGTCCCTACATTAACGCTATTCCAAAAACCCCTTGGTGAAGCGCTTGCAAACTTTCATTAGTTGACATATCCCGTTCCAGTTGGATGACGAAATAACGCAAACGTAGCCATGTGCTTAACGGCCCTCTCCGCAACGTGGATGTGAGGATACTCGCAGAAGTGTCTATGTGACTAGCTTGAATTAATACAGCTCATCTGTCAAATGAAGAAACAAACGTGTGAGCATTGTCGTTTCCCTTTTTATTTCTGACAAACTTACTGAACTATAACAAGTTTCCATACTATTTTGTGTGTGCTCATTCCATCCCCACTTCAAACTATCGCTATGCAGTAGTGCATCTGAATCAATGGACGCTTGAAATAACGGTTTACTTATTCGATGCTCTTTGAAATTTTAATGTTTATTTCAACCAACCTACGGGACTTGTTAAGCACATGGTTTTTTACCCGTGAGTAATCATTGTTCATTATGTCACTCATGCGATTTTGTAGTGAAGGGAACGAGTTGTAACTGCAAACCGAGAGCGTCATGTCGGTCTTCAACTGTCTTAACCGTCGGTGCCAACACTACATCCCCAGGCAGGGCATTCCAAGAGGTAATGATCCTGCACGGTAACTGGACATCAGCCCTCACCCGATCAGATCGAGGCTTGTGAAGCTTCTTTAGGTGCTCACGAAGAGTCGGCAATCAAGCCGGAAGGAATAGGTGAGGTAAGTCCGGATCAATCTGACCCGATAAGATGCGATAGGTAAGGATTAGATCGTCCCGGTGACGCCGATAGTGCATTGGAAAAGGATCCAAACTAAGCAGTCTCTCAAGAATGGACAAACGTCTTAGCCCACGCACCATCTTGGTGCCAATCCCCAAATCCCGCTCCACTGCCATCCGGTCCCGCACTAAGCAAGGCGGCAGGCTTGGGCGCAGTATTTTAAATGGGGTCTGATGAAAGCCGTGTACAGTTTAACAAACATCTCACCCGTTAGCGTTCCAAATGATCTGAGGATCATGTTCAGGTTCAAGTTCAATTGGGACTGGAAAAGTAGGAAGATCACGTGAATGTTCTACCTTTGAAATAGTCGTTGAGCCAACAGGGAATGCAGTAGACTGATCCGTCAAAGGAGAGCCAAATCAAGACACACGCTTCACCTGGTCATCCACAATATTCTGAACCTCTTGGAAGTAGCCTTTGTAGAGTTTGCACCCGAGTTGAGATCCGAGGTCCATGTGACACCTAACGCGATTTGGTCGGATACATGCGGTAGCTCGTTAACCCCCAAAATGTGGGGCGTTGATGGACCGTTGTACCCAAGGCACAAAACCAAGAACTTTGTAAATTAGATGGGTAGTTGTCACAAGGTGGACCAACCCCAGAGTCTATCAAGCGCACTCTGCAGAATCTGGGAGTGACCCGCGTCACTGACCGTGTGCCGGAATTTAAGAGCATCTACAAACACAAGAGACGACACACCCAATTCCTCAGACAAGTCATTACCATACAAGGTGAACAGCAGTGGACCAAGGACGGACCCCCGCGGAACCATTTAGAACCAACTGTCGAGAGGAGAAATTCGAGCATACCCGAACACACACCCCCCTATCCTGTAGAAATGTCATCATCCACTGTAGCGCTTACCCGGAGATACCGTATGACCACAGATTACACAACAGGCGGGGATGTGAGACGGTGTCGAAAGCTTTGGTAAATTCAATGGAAAGCACATCGACCGCCTTGCCCCGATCCAACTCGTCGGCACAGCACTCATGAGCACACAACAAATTGGTAAAACGAGAGTCGACTAAGAAAACTATGCGGAGACGAATTTGCAAGTCGAACGTCCTCAAGTGGGCTTCCAGGGCATCTCCTATTACCTCCAGTAATTTGACTAACATAATAGTCAAAGTGACCGGTCTGTAGTTCTCAGGAAGGTGTTCGTCACCCTTCTTGAAAATGGGACATACTATCGTTTCCTTCCAGTCAGAAAGTATGGACCAGTAGAAAAGGGACTTCTCAAACAAACGCGTGATCGGCTTACAAGTCGCAGCTGGGAGTTCATACAACAACTTGGGTTGAGTAGCATCTGCCCCAACCGCTTTGGTAGGATTTATTTCCCGTATTAATACCAACACCTGAGTCTCTGTAACGGAAATATCCGTCAGCAGTCAGACGAAACTCTCATCTCCAAATCAATAGGCGGCAAGCAAGATTCTGTAACAAATGCCCACGCATACTGTTCCGTAAGCAGACAGGTCTTAGCGTTGTCCGTTTCAGTAGTAGCTCCGCCGGTACCAAGCAAGATTGGAAGAGGTGAATTTATTTTAGTCCTCCTCTTGATATAGGCGAAGAAGCGATCTGGATTTATTGAAACTGAGTTGGCCAAGTCCATTTCATAGCATAATCGAGGCACGCGGATGTAGTTTGCACGTGCCGTGCTTCTCGATGGCTATGGAAAGCGCTGTCTGAGGAAGCCGACCGAAAGCTCCGCCAGCAGTTGGTTCGCCTGTTCATCAGTCGACGTGCAACTGAATCAAACCATGGAGGCTTCGGCTTTTTAGCCTTCCTCACAGAAATGGGGATATGAGGGAGAGACACCTCAGACAGGTAGGACTTGAAGTAATCCCAAGCGGTCTGCAAGTCATCGTCGGCAGAGATGATGCAGGGCGAAGTTGCGACCTTAGCTTTGATCTCGAGAATCCGCTCGCCATATATTCGGATTGGAATGCTGTCATCCGTGTAGTCACTGAAGAAGTCACAATTGGATGACAAATACACACGGTCGCTGGCTCCCAAAGACGGTTCATAAGTAAGTTCACTTAGAAAATCTACAGACTTAGGGAAAGTTAGATCTAGGTGGGACGGGACTTGACCTTCCATGAACCTAGTGGGCTGATCAACGAACTGGTGTAAGGGTACAAGCAACGTTAGGTCGACAACAGCAGTGGCCAGCCTCCCCGCTGCTGACTGACATGAAAAGATCTGCTCTCTACAACTCGGATAGTGATCTCCCGTGTGTTTTGTTCCTTCTGATATTATTTCTTTGGAGTAATTAGTAAAGCGGAACTATGTTGGCGTCAAAGTGTTTCGAATGTGGTAAAAAAAGTCACCTTTCACTCGAAGGCGGTTCAGTGTACTCACTGTGACGGTTCGTTGATTATAACTTTGATAATATCTATGCTGCTCTCTACATATGCCACCAGCATACTAACTCTCCGGAAATTATCTTCGAATGTAGTCCTTGCTGAACTGTTTTGAGGTGTAGACATCTCTCGAACAGGCTCCCGCCACTTATTCCACCTCATGCAGATGTTCTGAAAGCCAGCTCGATTGAGGATGGCCTCTCGGTATCTCCTTTTACTTCCTCCACTGAGGCTGGTTCAGCAAATCCCCCAGGTGTCCAAAGGAGGTCATCTGCTATTATTACTTCGATGCCACTTCTTCGCAGTGCACGGCGCAGTAACCGAAAACAGAAGTTCTATGTCTCCAAAGTGAGTGAAAACATTTCAGTCAACGCAGCCGTCTGTTCCTATGAGTGCTACTGCGCAAGCTGCAAAGACAGTTGTCGAAGTCTCAGCCTAAAACTGGATCACCTTCGTCACAGTCCAAGCTGTCACGTGTCCTTGATTGCGTCAGCCAGCTAGAGAAACGCGAGGGGAGAGTGGGGGGGGGGGGGGGGGGGAATGAAGGGAGAGGGCGTAAAGGAGAAAGGACAAAAAAGGGAATAAGCCAGGGGGGGTATCAACGAGGAAAAAAAACAAAGGCCAAGGGGGGGAAAAAAGAAGGAGGGAGGGGGGGGGGGGGGGGCGAAAAACAAGAAGGGGGCGACGGAAAAAAAAAAAGAAAAGAATAGGGGGGGGGGGGGGGGGGTAAACAAAAGAGGGAAAAAAAGAGGGGGAAAAAAAGGGGGGGGGGGGGTGTGTGTTAGGGGAGGGGGGGGAGGAGGGGAGGGTGGGGGAGGGAGATATGGGGGGTAGGGGAGGGAGTGGTCGGGGGGGGGGGGGGGGGGGAGGGGTGGGAGGGGGGGGGGAGGGGGGGGGGGTGTGGGGGGAGGGGGGGGGGGGAGGGGGGGGGGAGGGGGGGGGGGGGTGGGGAGGTGGGGGGGGGGGGTGCAGGGAGTTGGGATGTTTGGATGATTATGGTGGTGGTAGGGAAACAAGGTTCTCCTTTTTCTTCACGTCTATGTAGCTGTGGCTGGTTCAGCAAGATGTCCCCCCAAGGGCGTAAGTCCCATAGTAAGGTCAAGGCGGCACGGTGAGTGCGCATTAATTACCCGAGGACAACACGTGTCGATGACCACTAAGTGGGTACTCATATAGAGGCGTGAGAGACGAGTGCAGAGCGTGCGGAGAGGAGTAGCGTGAGAGAGACGAGTAGTGAGAGCGAGACGAGTGGGAGCCACCTGTAGTGAGTGAAAACATATTCAGACATAGGACCTCTGCTGTTTCCTAATGAGATGATATATGGAGGGACCTGCCTAGCTGCAAAGAAACCTAATACAATGGAGCGCGAGCGCGCGCAAAAAACTGATCACCACATTCCAAAAATAAACAGTTCTCACCACAAAGTTGCCAAACGGGTCTATTAATTAGCAACCATCATAACCAGCTAGATGACACACACACACGAGTCAGTGGAACATCCACATAAACACAAAAACCACAGCCCAACAGTTTTGGAGAAGTGGAACACGCTCTTTCGGGAACGATTTCTGCACTAGTATGAATACTTCCGAAATCCAAATAAGGAATCATGACAAAGTTGAATTTGGGAAAATCCGCTGAAACATCTGCTGTGCAGGATATTGATTGAACCACCTTCTAAACGCGAATCTCAATGAGGCTGGAACCGGTACCGCGGTTGCAGATGATTTGTGTTCGCCTCAGCGATCCTTATGAGCAATGCGGGGTGCGCTTCTTGCACCTTCCTGAGTCACTCAAACCAGATTGGGTACAAGGGTAGACGCCCAGACAACAAACCTCATGCCACCTAGTCCTACCAGTATTGGGGGTTAGAGTGAGGGTGCACCGTATTCCCATAGAAAACGGACTTACCGTGCGATGCACTTAGCCAAAATACCAGTTGGAACGGGTGCGGGATGGGGGGGGGGGTTATAGCTTAGCTTCTGCGTGGTGAACCACATGATCGTCGACACGACATGGGGTATGGCGATTAAGGGTATGGGTGAAGGGGAAATTGATAGTAGTGGTCGTGATTGCGGTGGTTTCTGCGGGGAGGGGTGTGGGATGGTTTGGGAGGGGGGGGGTACAAGAAAGGGGAGGAAATCGAAGATGATGTACTTTTGGGTAATGGGGGGTCTGTGGAGGGGGGGGGGGGTGGGGGGGGGGGGGGGGGGGGGGGGGGGGGGGGGGGGCGGGGTGGGGGGGGGGGGGGGGGGGGGGGGGGGGGGGGGGGGGGGGGGGGGGGGGGGGGGGGGGGGGGGGGGGTGGGGGGGGGGGGGGGGGGGGGGGGGGGGGGGGGGGGGCGGGGGGGGGGGGGGGGGGAGGGGGGGGGGGGGGGGGGGGGGGGGGGGGGGGGGGGGGGGGGGGGGGGGGGGGGGGGGGGGGGGGGGGCGGGGGGGGGGGGGGGGGGGGGGGGGGGGGGGGGGTGGGGGGGGGGGGGGGGGGGGGGGGGGGGGGGGGGGGGGGGGGGGGGGGGGGGGGGGGGGGGGGGTGGGGGGGGGGGGGGGGGGGGGGGGGGGGGGGGGGGGGGGGGGTGGGGGGGGGGGGGGGGGGGGGGGGGGGGGGGGGGGGGGGGGGGGGGGGGGCGGGGGGGGGGGGGGGGGGTGGGGGGGGGTGGGGGGGGGGGGGGGGGGGGGGGGGGCGGTGGGGGGGGGGGGGGGGGGGGGGGGGGGGGGGCGGGGGGGGGGCGGGGGGGGGGGGGGGGGGGGTGGGGGGGGGGGGGGGGGGGGGGGGGGGGGGGGGGGGGGGGGTCGGGGCGGGGGGGGGGGGGGCCCATCCCCCGGCCGCACCCGCGGGGGGGGTCTGCCGGGGCCGGGGTGCCCGCCTGCCCCCCCCTTCAGCCCCCCCCCCAACCCCCCACCGCGCGCGTGCGGCCCCACTCTACTCCCCCGCGCGCCGGCAGCCCCCCCCCCACCAGTCCGCACAACCCCGCCGCCCACCCCACTCCGCCGCCCCTACCCCCCCCACCCCCCCCGCCTTGCCTCACTACCCCCCAAGCCGCCGCCGTGGCCCGCCCCCCTCCGCCCCCCCCCACCCCCCCCCCCCTCCCCCCCACCCCTCCCCCCCCCCACCCGCCCCCGCCCCCCCCGCCACCCCACCGCCCCCTCCCGCCCCGCGCCCCCCCCCCCCCCCTCCCCCCCCGCCCCCCCCTCCCCCCCCCCCCCCCACCCCCCCCCCCCCCCCCCCCCTCCCCCTCCCCCCCCCCCCGCCCTCCCCCCCCCCCCCCCCCCCCCCCCCCCCCCCCCTCCCCCCCCCGCCCCCCCCCCCCCCCACCCCCCCCCCCCCACCCCCCCCCCCCCCCCCGCCCCCCCCCCCCACCCCCCCCCTCCCCCCCCCCCCCCCCCCCCCGCCCCCCCCCCCTCCCACCCCCCCCCCCTCCCCCCCCCCCACCTCCCCCCCCCACCCCCCCCCCGCCCCCCCCCCCCCCCCCACCCCCCCCCCCCCCCCCCCCCGCCCCCCCCCCCCGCCCTCCCCGCCCCCCCCACACCCCCCCCACCCCCCCCCGCCTCACCACCACCGCCCCCCCCCCCCCCCCCCCCCCCCCCCCCCCCCCCCCCACCCCCCCCCCCCTCCCCCCGCCCCCCTCACCGTACGGTCAGTAAGAAACCAAAGATGCTCCCCAACCACGCCAGACACCACCAAACCATGTACATTGAACCGTGTGAAGAGCTTGTGGTACAGAAATCCCTCGAGAGCAACACATCAGCCTCAGACAACAATGGACGTGCGGTTTCTATTCATCAGTATGGCAATATGTCCCGTTGTGAAAACACACTCAGAACAACTGTGCAGGCTTAACGATAATCACGTGGAGCACTCCGGTATTGAAAAGGCAAAAGCCTCAATATGAGAATTCAACCATGCTCTACCACACAATGCGGATGTGTGGCGGACCTCGGATGCTATGACTTTGTGTAGGCTAGGCTGTGCATCTTAGCATCAGCTCTAGTAGAGAGAGCGTCTTAGCCATCTGGTCAGGTGGAATTCGAAGAGAACGACGAGCCCTTCCCTGATACCAAGTGGATGGCTATGGCTGTGGCAGACCACTGCGGAGGAAGGAAGGATACGCCGCAAAATGTAGGTCGCAAAAGCGACTAAAAGAATGTGGCTAGCAATTCCCCTCGGAAATACCACACTGGAACAACAGCAGCCCCATGATGCACACCGTGCCATCATCGCCCCAGTGTAAATACACTTAAAGGACAACCGTGAGATGTTGCACGATTAAAGTGGCAACTTGGCTGCGTTCGAGTCGAAACACAGTAATACACACCAACACCGGACCGATGCTCTGAGTACTGCATTCCCACCATCACAATACTCACTCAGTAACCGGCATTATAATACTAGCAACTGAAACATGGTTCAACCCCCATGTACCACATATACATTACCATGTGAGGGCTACACCTCCTACGTGAGTAACCGTCACCTAGGAGTGGTGGTGGTGAGCTAGCTACGCTCCCTTAGTGACACGGATTGTCGGCCGTGTCAGAATGCGAGTAGCTAGTGACCCGATTCCATAACAGCCTCTGTTATAATGGTGTTGGGAATCGCGCTCAACTTCCTTATCATACACTGACCTCGTTCCCTCTTAGCCTGCCGTGGGTGACCTCAGATGTTAACGAGGTACTACCCCATCCGCCGTCATGGAATCCGTCACCGCCCATGTACCAAGTCGCAAACGAGCAAACTCCGGGCTGCAGTGATTCCCCTAACCCACCTACCCTACACATGCGTACACGTTGCTATGTCTACTATGCATTCGACATGTTATTGGCCCACAGCGCTTGCCTAAGGAACCACCCACACGACGGTGCGCGCATGTCACAGTAGCCTGACTTAACTTAGTTCATCGGAAGGAGTAACCTGTTAGCGTACCAGACTAAGTTGATAGCTCGTTAGCTTAAGTCGCTACCTGTATGGCCTAACATGACTCGGAAATGGTTTAGTATTCAACAGCTATTCATTTAGCATCTTAACGCCCTTCTATTTTGTGTTTGCTAGAAATGCGTGTTAGCGCAGAAGAACTGGAAGATCAGAACCCAGAAACGGCTATAAAACGAGACGTGCACCATCCAATCTCCGAAAAGAATAGGATGTAGCTATGAAATATTCAAACCTCACTACAATTATCCCGCCCGAAATGACGGGCAGATTTACTGCTTTAGAAAAAGAACTTACCACGCTGAAGAGCCGAATTCATGAATTTAGTACTATTTATGATCAGGTTTTATCATCCACTGAAATGCTTGGAGAATCAGGAAATGTCACGCTGGACCGATTATGCCGGGCTGCTTCCTTACTATATTTAATCACCTCCGGGACTCAACACCGTCTAGGTAGATCGTAGAATGTTATTTACTTTAACGTATCCGATAAGCTAACTGCCGACAGAGTAAAAATGCTGTTCCAATAGTGTGGGACATGAATGAAATAACTTGTCAATGCCTCCGATTGCGAAAGGATGAGAACATGACATTATGTCCAGTGCATTCCTATTCATACGCAAGAAAAGGCTAATTATTGCAAACACTAACTTCTAAAACATTATGATCAAACACGTCTTCAAAGGCGACTATGCCAGAAACATAGCCAGTTAGCTCTTTGAACTCCGCAAGTTCCTGCTGGTGGAACAAGTAATAATGCAGGGACAACTAATGTCGACCTTGAACAATCAACAGTTTCATTCAGGCTATGTAGTGACCTACGTTCTAGTTCTTATAGTCCTCCTGATAGGTTCTGATGAGGTAGTAGTGATATGCTCCTCTCTATCGGCGCCAACCAAACTGAGTTATGAAACCAGCAGATTACACATCCACCTTCTGTGTCACTTCTACCAATCACGAGCCTAAACAAAGTTGGCAGTTGCTGTACCTGCGGCCTGTCGAGCTCACCATTGAAATTCAGATCGTCATACTTTCAACACTAAAAACAAATATAAATCCGACAGATGACTAAGTGAATGCAGCTTGAAGCACTGTCTGAGAACTTCATCCAGTATCACTCGAAGCTCAGCAAATCCGGAGCAACCACTACAAGTTTGTATAGATATCTGACAGGACCAGCTGAGACAAAGTGTACGAATTCGGGCTTCCGTTTGCAACCCCGAGAAAGATATTAGGATAAGCAGCAGGAAGCCGACACAATATACCTCCACAGTATCCTGGAGTATGACCCCACCTTCTGCGGCTCTAACCCGACGAAAACCGTGTAGGTGCAATGCTGGAATAAGTAGCATAATAATGGTAGACCTTATGAACTCGCACGCACAAGGACACAACCTCTATCCGTCACAACTCATAACAAACCAATCACCACCTTATTCAATATTCAACCGGAAACCGTGTAATGCGAGCGAAAACACGTTTTGGGACTTTAACATCCCCAACCCCTAGAAAGCACAAATGCACGTCCTTTTTAGACTATCGTATTCCCCCGCGCCCCCACTCACACCGTTCGAGCCACTAGCATGTGCTGTGCTGAGCCGGAGAAAAATGCAGTTACTATAGTACCTACTTCATTTATTCCACAGAAATGCAGCACCAATTGCGACTCAATTACTTCACAACATACAGTTTTAGATATAGTGAACAAGAAGCCAGCTTTGCACGTCACTTTTATCCCAAACTAACAATTTCTCAATCCTGTTATTAATAACATTTGCTCTCTATTACCGAAATGGGATTTACTTACAACACTTATATTTATGAAATTCCCTGATGGTGCTATTATTACTGAAACGTGGTGCTCATCATCCCACTTCGCTGCCCCATTACTGACCGTGACCACATAGTTCAGTAGAATTATCCATTCTAAGCTAGTGGTAAGTGAGAGATCTACAACATAGATTCTGAACTCTCCTTTTCTATCTAATTCCTTTTGAAATTGGTGCAAGTCACAATAACAAAGTACACGCCTCAAGTGGATATGGCCCATTCGAAAATCAATTGTGACCTATGTGTAAAAACTGTTAAGTCTGGTCCAGTTTGTTTTAACTGTCAAAAAGCGTACCATTCGAAGTGTTTAAGGATGAGTGCACTCGAAACTAGACAATACAGTAGCAAAACCGAAGCATTTTGGTTCTGCCAGGTGTGCAAATCCATTCCTGTCGTTAGTTGTGTAATTTTCTTAATGAAAAAGTGTGAAAAGTTGGCGGAAACAGTTGAGCAACTGGTGAACGCTAGCAACGCAGCTGTGAAAGTAAACAACGCTATACTTGAAACTGAACGGACACATACAAACTCCCCGTTTAGGCCGAGGAAGAGGGCTAGGCATCGCGTCTCAGTCTCCAACGGCCCCTAGCCTCATGACTCCACTAAGTGAAAAAGTCGTTTACAACCCACTTGCTACTACGTCCTCCAAGGGTGTAATAACTAGTAATTCAGTTGACATACTTGACACACAAAACTCCAGCAATCCTACGGTAAAAAATAACTGGACATCCTACGCAGCGGTTGCTTCTAGGAAAACGCCGTCAAAGACACCACTCCACTTATCGGAGAGGTCAAAACTGTGCCTCAACATGGATCGCTATCGCCAGTGCCGTTCACAAATCCACAAAAAGCAAAAGAACCTAGTGCTGTTAAGTCGCAAACCACAAGGCGGAATCATAGTGCGTTAAGTCTTGTGTGCATTAACGTTCCGGAATCCAAATCCAACACAATAAAGGGCAAACTGATAGACGATCGTAGTCAGTGGGATTCCATCTGTAGTGCCATCAGCATGCGCGCTGAACCCACTACGCTGAGCCGCATCGCAAGACACCCAAACAACTTACACTACGGTGAACCTCGACTACGTCGAGTAACACTACATTCCGCGGAAGAAACAGAATCCATTCTGATCGCTGCAAATCGACATCACAGAGCATCGAACGGAGTATGTATCTTACCGGATATTCCGTGGAAAGAACGTTCAAAGGATATGAACAATCAACAGGGAAGTAGAAAACACGCGCTGAAAACCGTCATTATTTATGGCGTCCCAGAGTCTCAAGCTTCACCTCCTGAAGCAGCTCAGGCACATGACCTGGAGCAATGGCGATACATTCGTGAGGCATTGTCTTTAGAAAATGTCATTGCTACCTCCCTGACCAGGATTCCCGTGTCACCAAATTACAAAGGGTGTGGGCCTAGGTTGTTGAAGTTGGTCTTACCGTCTGAGCTAACTTTACAGACAGTTCTAGAGAACTGGGGTAAATTCCGGAACATGCTACCAACAGAAATTCGAATTAAAGCAGCAGGTTTACGATCAGAGGCTACTGGTTACTCCATGGAGAGAAGCAACTCAGTGGGAATAACCGTTGTTGCAGAGTCCACCACAGAGACTGATCTGACTGCCGTCATAGTATCCGGCGTGACACCGCAGGAGGTGAGTGACCATCAGGATCATCATGAACCTGATCACACGGTGCAGAGAGTTATCCCAAGTCATTCTCGCGAGCCTAAGACAATTCCAAAAATCTAGTAGCAGCCGACCTGAAGAGGGCCGGCCAAGTCTCAAACCTGTTGTCTATATCCACAAATAACCTTCTAACATATGAATCACTATCCTGTTTTTATACCAAGGCACAAGGTCTTTTAAGCAAACTGACGGAGCTTCGCCTGCGTCAGGTCTCGATGTCAAGCGACCTCGTTATGACAACCGAAACCTGGTTGAATGAAGCGATCACTGATGCAGAAATCGCACTACCTGGGATGTCTATTCTACGCAACGATCGACCAAGTAGATGAGGTGGTAGTACTTTATTATCGCAGCGAACTACACATTGATCTCATCGATGACTCAGAGGTTCA